TGTGTGTGTGTGTGTGTGTGTGTGTGGGTGTGTGGGTGTGTGTGTGTGTGTGTGGGTGTGTGGGTGTGTGTGTGTGTGTGTGGGTGTGTGGGGTGTGTGAGATGATTTCCTAGCTAAAGATCACTCGTTCTAAGCCATGACGGAACAATCTTGTCGCTTTGATTCTCAAATTTGAATTTCGAATGTGAACTTCGACAGAAAATGGGCGACAACTTTATTGCGATCTTTTCCGATAGCGTATAACAGACTACGTATCAGATATGCAAAAACTTATACGTATATTGCGATTACTTTAACGTCCAAAATATTAAAAGATATATCTACATGTGATGTATATTTTCGGTTTCACTAAAGAAACTACATATCTATTTTTAAATTTCAATGCAAATTGAAAATCGCATTTAATTTTTAAATCGCAAAGGTGTTTACTTCAAACATAATATATGAACTATCAGAAAAGAGACTTTGTTATCCAAACGCGTTTATAGTAAGTGGAATAAATTCTCTTCCGCGGAATATTCGAGATAAAATGGTACAGAGAATTAGCTTTTTTGTTTTTATAGTGCGCTGACGATAATGAATGTTGCCTTTTCGTTTTGCAAACAACCTAGATTTCGTACCTAGATTTCCTGTGGTGATATGAATAATAAGATTCAGTACTACGACGTTTTGCGTTAAAAAACAGAGCCCATTTCTTCTCCTACCAGCGTCATTGTATTTTTTATATACTAACGCATGAATGAAGAATTACAATACAAAAACAAGATGAAGAATTACAATACAAAATCAAGACATTTACATGAAAGAAACGTAAAATTCTGAGATGCGACGGAATCTCATCTTTAAATCTTTAGATTTAATCCGGCGTGCGAGAGGCTAAGTTGCCTTCCGCGTTGGCATGGTAAACTGTCGCCCCGAAGCGCGACGTGACAAATATCTGTTATTTACATAAAGCGCACATAAAGTCATGAGACGTGCGATACGGATCCCGCGTATTCGGATTCTGAAGTTTAATGCGGAAGAAAGTCGAAAGAGCGCGCGTTTTCCTTCGCGATACACTCGCAAAGAAGGCGGCTTGGTTGAACCACTGAGAAATCATAACATATCGCTGAGAAATATTCCACGATAACTGTCTGACATTTGCATGAAATAAGGATTCTTAGCGTAGACGTAATTTCGTACTCGGATTCGTGAATTTAATCCGGGCAAGAGTTACGCGCCCTCGTTTACTTTAAGGGAGAAATGTACAGCGACGTAAGGAGAAAAACACGAAATATTTCTTCCCTTACTCTCGTATAATGTAATATTTAATTACACGACCATAACTTATTACAGCATTACCTAACCGTTTTCTTCCGCCAGCAAAATAGTTTTGATAATGAGTCATCTTTACATATATAGCAATACAGCTATCTATAATAGCTATCTATAAAAGCTATATATAATAACTATATAGCAATCTGTACTTAAAAAGTTCCTGCAGTCTTCTCTCTCTCTCTCTCTCTCTCTCTCTCTCTCTCTGTCTCTCTCCTCCCTCCCTCTCCCCTTCCCTCCCTCCCATATCCCATCTTCCATTTCCCTCTTT